GTTCACCGTCACCACAATGCGGTGCTCGCATTTCGAGCTTATGCTTTTCAACTTCTAGGTGTTCTCAAATTGTAAAACTGTCAACTATTCCAATACTTTACTACATTGCAATATCTGGTATAGTTTGACGATGAATTATCATTCAACTGTGGTTCTACTATAACTACCGAAATCACAAGTAATGCACATTGCAACAGTAGACTTGGATATATTAATAGTAGCTTATTCTCAATGTAGCTGATATAGAAAGATGACGATGTTGTTGAATAAGATAATGATAGTGATGATAGTGATAAGGATGATGAGGAAGAGGATAATGACTGAACTCCCAGTGAACAGCCGTGTTTTCGTGACGGAATCTCGTCCACAAGCGTTAACAATAGGGTCCGCCATTCGCAATATGGTGGTCATATTTGTCTACACCTACTATGTGAGTTGAGTATGGCGAATACCACGAACCAACTCAACCCGATCTCTCGCCGTCTCTATTTCTTCTCTCTCTCCATAACACCCTAAACACAAAGTGCCAAATTACATATTCGGTGGCGGTGGTGATGGCGGTGATGGCGGTGATGATGCCGGTGGTGGTAATAAATCGGTTGGTGGCACGATGTTGGTTGAATAGTGTGTTCGAAATTGGGATTAGTTGGATTCCATGATGAAAGCATTTGAAATCGTAATTCATCGTCAATCATATTCATATGGTGTGTAGAATGATTGGTTGGGTTTTACATTTCGGCTTTTGCCATTGCTTCGTACACACACGCATAACGCAATAAACTTTGTTAGCAAAGCGCATAGCGTTCGGCTTTGATCAATCTGTCATGGATATATCTATGCATTTGACTTCATTCATGACACTCGGGTGAATGAATGTTTGGCCTAAGCAATGAGCTGCTGGAGATATATTTATCTGCGCAGATATGTATTACACCTACCAGGCAATCCTTGAGGGATGTGGATTTGGTTAGCCCGAGTCTCGAGGTTATACGAACGACCACGTGTTTCACCACTGCGCCGCACGTCAAATTTTACTCAAAACAAAATCGGAATGATTAGAACGTAAACAATCCTTCCAACGACTATTGAGTCACAATATTTACTCCATGGGACGCGTGTAGCGCAGTAGCCGGAGGTGCCCTGCAATGAGCAAGGGATCGATCCCCGCACCCGATGCTCACCATGCCTTCTATCCTTGCAGTGTCTGAAAATTGGTATCAGACTTGTCTGGGACGATAGCAGGATCGGCTCGATGTATCGGTAGGCAACCGTGAATCATTGTAAAGGCCAGATATGCATTTCATCACCTCCGACGATGCTTAATAAAATCGAGTGCATTGCGCGTCTCTCGGTGATTTTGATCAACACCGAGAGCTTCATCCTTTTAAGTTATTCTACAATGACTATTTATCGAGCGTCTAAAGCTAAAAAGAATTCATAAAGATGTCTTTTTTTTTTGAAAACGGCCTAGTTGTTCAAGATTTTCTGCGGAGCTTCTGGCCGAGATCAGTAGCCGAAGCCATAGTAAAATTCAATGATCTTCGTGGATGACATGGAAACGAGAAAATAAGCAAGATGGAAGAAATGCTCGGGCACACATAATATTTGGTGTTAAACAGTAATAAATAAGTAAATGTAAACAAAAACAAAAAGTCATACGAGGTGGTAGATGGTCATTCTTTACATAGTTAACAAGTTCATATCATTTACATGAAGCCGGAGATGAAATGAGAACACATAAGCTTCTGTCATTGCGAAGAAAACCGACACAAAAAGCAAATTACGAACTTGTTTATACTTTATAAGAACTGAGAAGAATAGAGCTATATGAAGATAGAAACTTTGGAAGATTTTTTTCGTATCCTTCAAATCGACTTGAAAATTTGTTAAACTGAAAAGAATAACCGAGCGATTGACTCAACATGGAAATCAGTGGTGAATTAGAGCAAACACCTCCTATGCTTCTATCTAACATCTGTTGGCGAGAGCATAAATGAACCTCTAGTGGGATCACGGCAATACCAGTAGAAGAGAACAAAGAAATTCCGCAATAATTAAGACAATGAGAATTCATTGAAGAAAGAAATGAAGTATTTCGTATAATTTACGTTTTTGTGAAACATACTCACTCCATTCCATGCCTTTCTCTCTTTCTCTTTCTTACCGTTTTCTTTATTTTCTTTGCTCTATCTCCTTCTCTCCCAAATCCTCTTTTCTTTTTCTTACTCCTCGCCTCTGTCATCTTCTTTCTCTATCATCTATTCCTCAATTGGAAATGGAGAGAAATGAAGGGCAAAATAGTATTAGCAGTGGTGTTTATGAAGACGAACAAGTCCATTCAGTTCATATAAGATATTTACTTTATTCTTATTATACTTTATTTCTGTTAGATATTTTCCTTTCATAATGAAAAACAGAATTCGTAAACATTTGGTGGAGATTAAGACAGTACAGTGATAATGTATAATCTTTGCCTACTAATTGCTATATTTTTTTCACAGCGTGGTGCTATGTGAAATGCAACCGCAATGATGCTAAGATATTTGCAAAACTTGGACCCCTGGCGAGATCGAACCGCAAATATCCTTTCCGGGGGCTGTATTACGCACGGGATCACTGAGGCGGTCGTTCCGTGTTTCGTTCGCCTCGCTAACCCAGAAAGCATAGTGGCGATTCGATCTGGCCTGGGGTCCAAGCTTTGCAAATATCTTAGCACAGTGATAGTCGTCCAATCACACGTACAAACCATGCTCTAACCATGGTACAGCCGTCTCTGGAAACGTGTCTTTTCGCTCTCTTGGACTCACAAAGGGTGTTGATCGCCTGTAATGAGGACCTAGAAAAACATAATACGCCTATTCCAAGATTTCAGCAAGAATCGACTCAGCCATCAACGATGATGAAGACGAAAATCTTCGAACAGCAGTCAAACCCAGACGAAAATCCGAAAATGTTCATGAATCTTGGATGCCAGGAAATGAATGAAAGAAGGAATGGGCTTCGGAACACAATTTGATGCTGAGTCGTTTTAAAAAAGTTATTTAGATAAATAAAAAACATCCTCATAGATCGCTTGACCCCTCAATAACAGTTTATAACAAAAATTTCGTTTTATCGCGTCATAGTGTTATAAACACGAAAGTGGTGACGACCTGAGGCAGACTTTGGCCAGGCTAACCTCGGAACTCCAGGTAACCACAATGGCTTAACCAGCAACTCTCCAAAAAATGGTGACCATGCTGGGACCCGCACAACCAGTGAGGATGGGCTGTTCAAGTATCAAGTAAGTAAGAATCAGCAAACATAACTGTGCAAAAATTTTAATTTAAGAAAGAAATGATAACCCATTTGTGAGATTAACGGAGAATAATGAGCTAAGGTAATCAGACAAAACACGAATAAGGTATAATGTAACATAAAAAAGGCCCAGAACCCAGTTATTAAGCAAAACCAGAAATGTTCATCCTATTGACAAACCTCAAGCCACCAAACCCAACCATTTGTACTGCGCAGCTTCTGCCCTGATCTACGAAAAATCGATGAAAAACAGAAAATCAATGAAATAGGCGCGTAGATGATCCACAGTACGGTGTGGTAGGCTGGAAAGCCACCTGTAGGGCGACCTAATTATCCATCGATATTGTTCTGTCGTGACCTTTCATTGGTAAAATGAACTGGAGAAATTCACTCTGGATTATTATGCGGGACAGTCAACACGCCTTTAAATGAAACAAAACAGCTTCTGTAATGACTTCTTTTCATCATTCTTTGCCTTTTTCTTTAAAATCCATCATATTCTGGACACTACTTTGTGAATGTTCTGAGCAGCCGTCAAACTCGAATGAGGCGCGGTTTCCCAAAAGTGTTGCTTAGAACGCTCTGATGACTGTGGTGTTGTGAATTGCTGATTCCAATCAAGTGAGTTGGTATGTATTCGCGGTCGTGAACACATTATTCCTAATGGATAGGTCTGCTCGATTACATTTAAGTGCAACTAAATGTGCTAAACATCACGGAATACCGATTTTGGGAGTGCAGATCCTCGCTGGACTCCAGGTTTCGTAAATCTCGCTAGAGCAGGTTTAGAATCATTTCAAAACGCGGTTCAGAAAAAAGATCTGTTTTGAAAGTGCGTGCAGTGATCATATATTAAGACTAATGCTCGCACAGCAGACCTAATCCTGAACTCGTAGCCCAACCCTAAGCCTGATTCGTCGCGAAGCTCACGGTTGAAACCGAGTGAAATGCATGTCGTGTATGACGAGAAATCAATTGTTATCATCTCCGCGACACGACCATCGATGATTACACAGTGTCAAAAATATTAATGCAATGAAACCATAATTTAACATAAATAAGGGTTAATATATCACATATATGACACGTGAGTCCTCGAAACGGGTGTCGTGGGTTCGAAGCCCGAGTGAGGCTACGAGTTTTGTCCGTATATCTCAGCATCCTTGTGATTGTATTTGGAATAAAAGTTGAAATTTGGTTGACCACGACCGCATATCTATGGTTATGGAAGCCTGCGCTACACTCCTCGTCACTGGTTCGATACATCGCCACGGTCTCACTAAACTTTCTATCTCTTCGGGGTCGGCAAACCGGCGTCCATCAAACTTATGTGGAAGAATAGTATCACTGACTTGATACATTAATAAGCTATTAGAAGTTATTGTATGGGCAAGATGTAAGATATGAACCTAACCATCTTCAATGATACTTGACGAAATCGAAAACATGGCTGATCCTACAGTGCTTGATAGTTGTAGAATGCTTTATTCTCTATGTTTTTGCATGACTGCTTCGAATATTTCCAAACCCATATACGACGATCACAATACGTTCCGATCAATGCCAGCATTTTTATAGGGCCCTATTCGGTGATAATCATCATCGGTATCAACATGCTATGTTGACAGCACTACAGAATTTAACTGTATAAAAGGAGGGAATGAACTCGGCAGAGTCATTTTCTATCTCGTGCACTCTACTAGATGGACGATCCGAAGACTGTCAAAACAGACAGATCAAAAATGGAAAAGTCAGAAATGAAGGTACTGTAAGGACGTGAATTGAGCCATTGCCTTAAGGCTATTCAAATTACAACTATGTTTTGTTGTACATGACATTCATTAGTCACTTAGTGTGCGAGCGTTATTAGTGGATCAGTGCATACGTAGCAGTTATTTCTATATATAAGCACAGCTGAACCTTCCCATGACCCAGATGCATCGATTTCAGTGTGTACGCTAGCGGAAATTTTGGACAATACGCCTTGGTTTCAATGCGCAATCTTTTCGCTAGTTTCCTTGGACGCATGGCGCTTTGTGCCAATTTTGTAGAGTCAATCGATAACTTGTTCAACACAGATTTTGTGCTGAGCGTTGATTGAGAAATGTTCTGTTTTGAATTTCGAAGTATATAAAAAACGAAATTTTCCGAACGACTACGTCTAAGGAGGATTGATCTTATATTGTTTGTCAAGTGCGAAAGAAACTGATATGACAAGCATGGAGAGATAAGTAGTCCTTGGGAGTAGGCGACACTTCTTGGGATTGTTCAATGCTATTCTATCTAAGATTCGTTTATTGACTGTATTAAGGCTGACTTGGAAAGTCAGATATGGTACCATGGATTTCGGCCACGAAAAGATGTAGTGTAAGTGGTGAATTTTTCACTTCACAAGTAATGAGCAAACAAGTTTTGCCAGTCTGAATAGACTTCATCATTTCTGATAGACGTAGAATTGATTCATGACGAGGTGATACGGATGATAAGCGGTTGCCTGGAATGTTAAGAGTGTGATGACTTCACCACTGCAGTACGTTAGAAAAGGCATGTATTCTGTGCTGTGATCAATGTGTAAACAGTAGAAAAATTAGTAGCCTAGAAACAGGCACTCGTCCGAAACTTTCCACCTTATCCTGGCGTTTTTCGTAAACATTTGCACAAAAACGAATGCTAAAAGTCGTTTGGATGTGTTTTAAGTCTCCTTTATAGGCCAATGTATGCATCTAGAATTGAGCAGTAAGACCTCCAAGCACTCCGTTTTGAAATTCCTGAAGAGAGTCAGAAGTCATTTTCCTTTGAGAATTAGCTTTGCACATCTACATTCTCAGAAAATCCATGATATACACCGACATCGTCGCAAAACTGAGCGACCTAAACCGTTACAAGAAAAGCCGCAAAGGAGTTCATTAGTTCTTTAGTTTTTCTTTACAAAGCAAAGACTGCGTATAAGCATCCCAACAAAGCAAGGTAACCATCCATGTGCCAATGTAATTCGGAGCTAAATCAACGCTTTTTTGTCCAGACACGGTGTATTCTTGACCACAACAATACTAAAATTTGTGAAGTAGAACAACAGTTCCGAAAACTTGTGACTACAATGAGAACCAGGGTCTCTGACCTGACAATCGCGTTCGTTCGAATTCACACCGGCGTGTGTATAGAAGTATTGACTCATGCTGCCTCTATTTCATAGAAAATTCTCTGCTTAAATTTGATGACAATGTTGAAGATGTTCGGTGTTGATCAATTCCTTAGGAATCCGTCATGCATTCGACTCCATTCGTAACATCGTATAAATGTCTGGATGCATACCTCACCAATACAATAACTTGCGGTTGTCTATTGATGTGTCAAATCAGTGTTTTTATTCTCCCAGACGTAGGTGGTACACAACTTTGTCGCCCTTGGAGACATGAGAGGCTTAGCTTGGCGGCGCGTGCCATCGAACTGTGGTGTGCACTGTAGGGCATATCTGGCCGCATCGTTATATGCGACCCTACCTGTTCTCCTTGCAACACTAATTTGAGTTGCACACACTTAATACTCTCGGTAACTCATAATATTTCATCGAAAACCTTCAGAATTCGTTTCAGTGCTCTACTGAAAGAACCTGGAGATTTCCTCGTACGTGCTACAGACTCACGAAATATGCCTGAAATTGTCATTTCGGTGCTAAACGACAAAAGAGAATTAGTCAATTTAACAATAAAGTAAGTAGTCACTAAACATCGAAAAAATCTAAATATTTAGAGCTTTACAATGACTTAAACTTTCTACCGTACTGATCCTGGCATCAAGTACAAATTTTTTTGCTTTAAGATGCGACAATAACCGACTTTGGACGCTTGGTGTTCTTCGAAAAAGCAGTAAACATGTGCCACGATTTCCACAAGTCGCCGACTTAATAAATTATTACAAGGTATAAGATACTGGAATGCTTTTTTCTTGGAAGTTTTCTAGCTACCGTACCAGATACTGTTCAGAATCATAAACTGCCTGGTCATGCCAAACTTATACACGGCATCACTCGTCCAACGTGGTTAATAAAGCATGAATACGTTTCTTTCGATAAGGATAAGGTAAGCGCCGTTTGCCTAAACGTCATTCATATTATTCCTAGAATGTTTAACGAATTACTGATTTCTTTTCTAGGATCTACTTGGTAGAGGTAATTTTTGCAATGTCTACAAAGGGATATACACGCGACCACATGACGAAAAAATCGTTGTGGCTGTAAAGGTTTGAACTTCCATAAATGTGTAATACAGAACACTTATGTGTGATTGATTACCTTTAGCTGGTCACCAACAGGTTAGAGCAAATAGGTATTCTTATTTGTTATTTTTTCATTAACCGAAATCGCGTACGGTGCAGTGGTCGGAGCCGTCCTGCAATACATATGGGCCTACCAAGCTTTCCAGCCCTCCGGAGTCTGCAAATTGATACCAAGCTTGTCTGGTACAATAGCAGAACTGGTTCGATACATCGGTAGGCCACCGCGGGTTATTTTGAAAGCCGGATATGTATTCAATCACTTCTAAACGGTGCTCAGTGAAGTCGAATGCATGGCACATCCCTGAGGAGTTGATCAACGCCGATAGCTTTACCCTTTTTTCTATTTTCATGCGACAAAAAATGTACCACATCATGCAGATAGCAGCACTTCCTGAATTCTAGTCGTTTCCTTGTCCTCCACCAGGGACGGCGATCTTTTTTGTGTGTGGTTTCAGCTGCTGCTTAAGGTTTTTTACCCTTTCGTCACAAATGGCGCTGAATGCTGGTGGAGTCGATTCTCTTTAGTATCTTGAGGTAATCGTGCTGCGGAGTTCCCACATGAATTAGAAGTAGTGAGCCCGTTCTAGGCAAGTTAGGTAGCAATTAGCCGAGCTCGATAAGGTGAAGAGCATAGTGGGCCGAGGCGTATCGAACCAGCACCTGGGTAGGTTGGGTCGTCTGTGTAATGAGCAGGATCCCTACCACTATGTTATCCTAATTAAGTCTACATTGTATTCATGCAGTAAGTTGCATAATATTTAGCGAAAGATCTTGTTACAACAGGATAATTGTTTTCCTAAAACATTTTAAGAGATAGAGTCCAGCGTGAGGAATTTCTTCTATTACATGGGAAACCGGAACAATTTTACCAGTGTCAAGTGGTATCAATTCAATGACGATGAGATATTTGCAAAACTCCGGAACGCACGCTTTTTTATTGCCTCAGCTTAACTCGATTCAATGTCGATTTGGGCTCCCCAGATCAGTCCCATTGACGGGTGATTGCTGATGGCAAGTGGTCGATAGAACTAGCTGAGAGACAGGCGAAACCAAGGACCCGGATGGTGTGGTTGTGAAGTGCGCTGCTCCCCGGTAAGGACAACAGCGCGTGTTCGTTCCTCACCGCATATACTTGCGGTCCGGCGTTTTGCAAATATCTCAGCATCATTGAAGTTATATTTCGCAATATACCCTGCCATCGAAAAGAGTAGGCAGTTAATAAAACGGTTAAGATTCAGTGATATCAATTCATAGAGAGTGCCTAAAAGAAATTAGGCGTCAAAAGTGATCGATCTAGCGTCAGTCACACAGATTCAGGCATCGCGCTTCTAGTGTTAAATTTATTTTACTCGCTTTTTACCAGAATTTTTCTCAATCTCTAGCAATTAAGACATGTTCACAACAACGAACGGTTTAGATTTGTCATGAGGGTTCGGTTTCGAAAGGATTTCAAGAGACGAAAGAGGCCCGCGATCAAATGCTTAGTGAAGCACAAATGATGAGCTACTACGTTCATAATCACGTGATTGAGGTAGATCTTGATGTTATTTACTAAATTTACTATTTCGTCAGACACACCAACACTAAAAGACATCTTCACACACCTAAATCAACTGTTGTCCTATTGATCGTCGGGTGCCTCGAGCAGACACCCGTAAATCTTCCATTTCTCCCTTTCGCTTGCAAGAAAAGTCCAGTGCGTTCTTCCCACACCAGGGACTCGTTGAGCATAATATTTTCTAGGCTTTTCGTGAAGAACTTCGACCATCGGATTGGTGGTCTTCATGCAATGCGTTTGACATCCCAAGGAACCCAGTCACTAACAGCTCTTGTGCATCGGTTTTCGTTCATACGCATTACGTGTCTGGCCCACCTTATCTTCGACTGTTTGGCGTACAGAACGACATCTTTGACTTTTGATCGTTGACATAGGTCGGAGCTTCGGATCCCATCCCTTACTTGTGTGAAATAGGATACTCCTAGCATCGTCCTTTCCACTGTGCATTCAATAAAGCTGAGTGATGTTTCACCCTGTTTACGTAGAGAACAGGTTTCTCACTCATTCGTTAACGAAGAAAGGACGTGGATTCGAAAAGGTGGCGTGGAGTTGGGTGTTCTTTGCTCTCCTCACTCCATTCTTTATGATCTTTAAGGCTCCCCAGGCCGCTGTCTTCCTCCTGCGCAACACTGGAGCTAAGTTGTGCATCATATTGATTTCTCGACTTTGAAAGACGTAGTCGGAGCACTCGGAATACTCGTACCGTTGAGCGTGAATCGTCATACCAAGCCAATCCGTTCCTATTGAACTCCATTTTTGCCAGATTTAGTTTCAAGAATGCCGTTCTTCGAGAAGCCGACTAATGAACTGAATAAATCCCAGTTTATGGTATTTTTGGGGCTTCGTATTTTAAATTTATCAACTTTTTCTCCTTTCCGCGAAAAACTTCAGAAACTAGAACCTCTCCAAGTTCATATAGAACGATTCGACTTCGTCTTCGTCATAGCTTGACGTCGGCGCGTAAACGACGAAGATATTCACGGCCAGTATTAAGCCACATCTTTTCAACCATAAACGTCCAATTCCGGTTGTTAGTTGCTGGAACAAATCGATGCTTCTGGCCAAATTCGTGTCGAGGAGAACGCCGACGCCATCGACTCTGCTGTCGCATGTTCCAAGGAACAGTTCTATTCCGGTATCAAAAACAAGCGTTGAATGGATAGTGTCTTCTCGTTTTAGCCAATCCAACGACTTCGTACCTTATCCTTCCTGCTTGCATGATGAAGTCTTCTATCGAGACAAATGTGTGTGCATTGTAGGTACAGATCGTCACCTTAGTCCTTTGCGATTTAGGCTGCCTATAATCGTCACGAGTTTTTAGCAGCCTCTCCGTCATCGTCATACCCAAAACTGCCGCATTGAGGGCTCTTTCAGAGTCAGGGAAGTGAGGTCCACCTGTTTTACTGTGTTTCACGTTTGGCACCCACGTATAGCTTGCTGAGCTCTGAATATGGTGACTGGGTATAATCTGGTAGTTTCCTCTTGGTACTGGCAGCATATAGGTCTCGCCTCTCCCAGAGTTCACAACGAGCCTACTTCTTGAAGGCGACTCCTAACCACCTCCTGTATACTTCCTTGTCACTTGATTGCAGTGACCAAGCTGACTCGTGGAATACAATACACATAAACGAAAACACATCCGCGTACGCATGCATGAATACGCGTCGTAAATACAGGAAGTATGTGCCAATCCTTTGGATTCACCTGTGTTCACGTAAAATCAGGGTTACACTGTTTCGGCGATTGACTCCCGATTTGACCGTGGAACGCACTAGGTTGGCTCATAACTAATCGGCATGAGACCCTTTTAGGAAGGGGATTTGTGGATCTATTGAATTAAGAGAAGTGATAGCACCGTGAATTTGCTGATGGTAAAAAATCTCGCTGACCCGATCAAAATTCCTCTATTCTCTTCTCGATGTACGAACATATTCCATGGATTATGGAGAGCACTTCTTGTACCCATAACGTATCAAAATTTTTGTTTGTCAGTCTTGTCCACGGAAAAAAGATAGTACAGTGCTAGAGATCTGGCAGTACGCGCAGAGCCCCATTTCGACTAAGCCCATCTTGCCCAAGCCTTCCATTACTCTGGAATTGTGAGATTGGTACTAGACATGGCTGAGGAGCTCCATTCCATCCAAATATGTTTTGTGGATGATGGACTGAACATGAAGCGAATAAAGGAAATGCTGGGATCACCACAATATATAATGTCAAACTACGTATAACAAAAAGAACAGTTTTAAGTTTTAATTGTCTACCTACGGGTGCTTTCTCCAAGTCAGAACGACGCATTAGAATTAACAATGCATAAGCCTAAATATTTGGAAATTGCAAGGAGGACCTGATTTGTAAGAGTTCCTTCCTCCTAACATTTACAAATTGTGCCCTTGATGAGTGGACGTGAAGGATTTTCCCCTCTTCAGAGCTTGTAAGTACTTTGGTATAGCTCAGTCAAGTACTTTAATAACTCTAACAGCAAAGGTCGCAGCCTAAGTTCCGTTTTTTTTTCGTGCGTTTCCCACATATTCTGGAAGACCAGCCGCACAGTTTACGTGGATGAAGGATGTGCCAATGTCTCTTTTAAGACTATTTCGTGAAGGTTGTTATAGTAGTTGGGTTACTCTTTGGTATTGTTGATACTTTGGTTGACACTTTAGCTCTATGATGTACATTCACCATAAGAACTCCAATCCACTGCCACCGAAGCGTCGCCCGCTTCTTTATTCCATTTCATTCTGTGATCATTAAGGGATCAATGAATTCCTTGTGTAGTAGCCGCTACGGAGACAAAAACTCCACATTTACAGTATCCATTCGATCAAATATGTGATAGAATATGAAGGACAAAATATGAAACGTTTGATGTTGATCAGTCCCTCATGGATGAACCTTGCATTCGATTTCATCAAACGTCGTTAGATGTAATTGAGTGAATATCGGACCTATACCATAATTTGTGGTGGTCCATCACAACATCAAATCAATGTTTTTGTCCTTCCGAAGAAGTCTGGCATCATTTTGTCAGCCATGGAGCGACAGGACGCTTCGTGAGGCCGCGTGGTGTCGGATCAAGCCAGTTCGGATCAGACCACGTTTGTATTGCAGACCATCTCTAAACGCTGAGCCAGGCGCGCCATAGTGATGAAACCGCAAGAAATAAAAGATTCTAATTTGCATTGTAGATGTTCGGAGTGGCTTGTGATCATCCACCAATATTAATTGTTATGGAGTATTGTCCAGGCGGCGATTTACAGTCGCATTTGAAAAAACAACAACAAGCTATAGAGGTTGGAGAAAGAATAGTCTATACTCTTGAAGTAAGTGAATCTACTTAGTTCTTTCAAATCCTCAGTATAGACGAAGTACAGTATGCTGCACTACCAAGGGAGTTACAGGCTGCTCGTGGAATGCGATATTTGCACAAGAAAAATTGTGTTCACCGTGATTTAGCTGCTAGAAATTGCTTAATATCAGCAAAAGGTTACATATGCTATCAAATTTTTTGTAACCACAATGTAGAAGGATTTTATTATTTCATACGACTCATAGAAAGCTGATGAACTCTAGAATTCAGAAATATATGACCTGAAGAACTCACGTTAATCGATGCCCCATTCAGGAGGTATTAAAATAGCAGATTTCGGTCTTTCGAAACTTGTCAACGACTTGGAGAAAACCGACAAGGAAGAGGTCGATAAGGATGAACCAAGTCCGCAGATACCATTGAGGTAGATGATGAGCTCTGCCCAGAAAAGTGCTCAGGGCGTCTTTCGTTGTTGATAAGCTGCCATCAGCAGCACTGGTGATCAGTTTGAGTCGTCAGTTTTTTTAACGGTATTTTCAATCTTTTTTTACCTTTCACTAAGTCATTTGTATGCTTTCATAGTCCTAATAATGTCAGCAAAACGTCTGCAAATGATATTTGTAGGTTTGAATTATGATTGTACTCCCCCATAATCCTGAAGCAAAAAAATCAGTTGCTAGAACTCCTTAGTGCTTTTTGTTCATCTTTTAAAATCGACAAATAACTGTAAGGAAGATGAGCCCATAGTCACACGTGAGCTGTCCCCATATCTCAACCTCTTATAAGTGTACACTCCTTATTCCGTTATGTGAGGATGAGGTCAGTGCTATTAGGGAACAGTGACGTTTTGATTAATTCCGGCACTATCTGAAAGTTCGTCTTGGCTGTAGTATTTATTTCTCCGAATACTCTAGTTCCCCATAGATTTTATGGGAAATTACGTTAATGCCATCAAATGCTGTTCAACCTCTATGTTCAGGTGGATGGCACCAGAATCACTAAAACGTCCGATGAAATTCAGTACAAAGACAGATGTGTGGTCGTTTGCTGTTATGATGTATGAGGTAACTAAGTATTGTCGATGAATGGAACGAGAATCCTTTTTTCCTAAACAAAGCCATAAATTTCGACTAGACCAAACCGCTTATTATGTTTGCTTGGAATTGTGTACTCCATCTGCATGCATGCTAAAGTTTTTTCAAAATGTCTCCAGTAATATTAATAAGCTTACCCAACCTAACTAACGAATTCTATCGAGGTTTTCAACTGCGGAGTAAAACCGTGGCCCGATGATCCACCAAAGAAGATTGCCACCGCTATACGGAAATGCAATATGCCATCGATGCCTGAGGGAACACCGGAGGAGTTGAAGGAGCTCACAGCACAAATTTGGTCTGTGTCTAGATTTCGAATCTGACATATCATAGCTTTGAAGTTGAATAAGAAATCCCCCCAAAACATTTTTAGTTTGTAAGTTCGTGACCTTCAACTCTTGGTTCCTCCTCCTTTTTCTTCTTTTTTCTTCTTCTCTTTGTTTCCTCTTGAGCTTTGTCACCCACCTAGGTCTTGACATTATCGACTTTCTTACTATAAAGAGTCTTCTTGTTTACTTTTTGAAAAAAGAAGGTTTTCTGTTTAAGAACTGAAAATTGTGGTTTTGAGCCATTAAAAAAAAGCGACTTTAACTTCGGCCTCGGTTGACTCTTTGTCAAAAGTGACAATGAATAAATTCAAACTGAGGAAAAAACTGCGACACCTCCTATCTTTCTATCGAGAAGTTTGAAGAAAAATATTCAGAGGAAGAAGGGAAAGGTGTTGGTCGTAAGGTCAGCACTGATGCAATGTGGTATGCAATGTTGTGCCTCACAACCAGTCGTTCCTTGACCACAGTAAATCTAGTGTGGAGCCACAAATTTTGCTTCGGCTCATAAAAATCACTGGTCCTTACGAAACACTAAGGCCCACATAGACACAAACTGAAATTGTTAAAATTGCGCTCGAGAGACGAATTCCACACAATTGTAGGGCATGTAGGGCAATTCAGCGTCCCCATAGGGATAGCAGGCTTGGTCGGTGAGCTCATGACGCAGGATCGAACCGCCGTTCTATCCAATGTGCACTGTCCCTCTAGGGACCTCTAAACATTATGCTACATGCGCTCCTTGTGTTACGCTTGTTACTAGTGGAAGATTTTGGACAAAACTTTCTTCCACAGTTACTGAGAAAACGATAACTTCAAGGTAGTGAGATTTTGCTGTTTAGGGTAGTTGATTCGGCTCTTCGTCCAACAATGGCACAGTTGTGTTCATCACTATACGCTGCAATGAAGAAATATCGCCCACCGCCGCCAGAAAAGTTCACGTTGAATACCATTAATGGAGTTCAGAGGGCTCAAATTGATGGCGTAATCACAGTGAGCTATAACTTTCTTCAGTCGCAAATTTATCATACAAACGGTTCGGAGAACTCAAATGATGGCTATATGCTAAAGGCGCGAATGCACCAAAATCCACCTCTGTGCCTTTACGTATTTCTCCACAATTTCTGTTAGCTGTGACGACATCGTACTATGCAGCACCACAAGTTCTTATCCTCTGTTGCTGTTTGGTCACTACAAACAGTCTCCGAGTACGACATATAGTCGCATCTACCAGATTGCTCTTTGAAAACTGGAGAAAACTGCTCAATATTTGATCCTAGCTAGTGTCAGAAACAAGTTCGATCACTATGTCAAGTCTCAACTTCCTCTTTTTCACCAGCACTGGAACTTTTTTGTTTTTTGTAGTAACATTCACTTTTCAAACTAAAAATCTCTATAAACCCATTATGGTGCAGCAAAAGTTGCAGTAGTTTGTCTAAATCTGTTGCTGTGGCCTGGTTAGTTCTTCTATTTGGTGGTGCATTTTTTCACTAATGGTTTCAATGGGGCATACTAAAACTGTATAATTCCTTAGGAAGTTTTGCAGATCATTAGACTTAAAGAAAGATCTGTATGCAGCGTTGAATGAAGGTAATGTATGTTGAAAGTGAATGAATGAAGGTGAATGAAGGTAACCTCGGTATACCTTCATTGAACAAAAGCGACCATTATGAAGAGCACATAGGAAACCTCTAAAAATCTATATTAAAATTTTCGTTTATTCAACTTTAAGTGAAATACAATAATTTTAGATGGAGGAAACAGCAGAAAACGAAGATGAAGAAGGGCCTATTAAACCATCTAGTTTTGGAGAAAGGTAAGGAACAGTTTCTTCATTAATGTTGCGCATAGTAAACTCATTTACAAGTTCGACACTTAGAACCTGACGTGAGAATATTTCCACTTATATGTAAGGGTAGACCGTCCGGTGTAGGTGATATAACTTCCTTCCCAGCTTACACTTCAGGCAGTTTTTCCGCAATTTTTCGCTAAGTTGATAATCTGCCAGAGCAGATTTTGTGTAGGATGTCATCTGAGAAAAACAGTTTTCCCACATATCAAAATTTACCAATGATTGCTTCCGAACAAGAACGCTGCTACAAAGAAGAGTATTACGATATCTGCTTACTACCTTTTACTCCGACGCAAACCTACATAGAACGCGTTCGCGAGATTGTTGTTAACGATGCGTCTTCCCTTTGATACACAGAGTGGCTGACATAAATTGATATCAACTCGCAGTGAGAGCGACGAAAAACTTCTTCTTACATTACCCGACGTCACAGATATTGCGCGGATCCCTGTATCCATTGCATTCGAATCATGTCCTCACATCCACTATAAACGCAGGTCTCTGAGCTTCTTGCGAGTGAATTCGGCTGTTCTCTGAAGATTTTCGCCTTCGTCACGAACGTCGTTGAATACTGGTCGAGTGGTTTCTCCATGGAGTCTGGAATACACATGCAAGAGCGTTCTCACGTAGATTGAAGAGAGTGGGCCGGTCCCAAAAAGGTCTGCTAGCAATGTCCCTACATTGTATACATCAAACTCTAGGTTGATTCAGTCGAACCAGCACCGTCCTTGCGACGGGCGACATCACTAGCGCTGCGCCAACCGCACCTTGACAAAACTTACGTGTCGAGTAGATGTGGAACTTATACAGAATTACATAGTAGGGTGGAAGTGTTAAGATATTATGCGGCCAATCACATTTCCTTCCACAAAGTTATTGGAACAATTCCAGAAGAACAATCAACAACTAAGATATTTTCAGAAACACAACGGAAGACCGAACACACCCTACTACGGAAAAGTCGTAAGTGAAACGACTTCTGTAAAACAATGTTAGGTTGTTAAAGTGAAAAGACCACGTCTTTGGCTTCAGGCGCTTCGTAACAGTTATAGGCTTCTGGGAAGATATGTAAAGGTGCAAAAGAATTAGTATAATTCTGTAGAACCATGAAATCATTCCGTACAAGTTGCCAAAAACAATAAGAATTGGAAGTCCCACATCATCAAAGTACACTGCAGTTCGACTCCACGGGTAAGTTGGTCCCGATGATCACTGATGCTCGATGGAGACAAGTGGAGATTTTTCTCGTGTCCAGTTCATTGGTTAATTCTATGATAAACGTGATTATAGACGGTTTAGAAGATCGTAGAACAGCTAAGATCTTAGTAAATTCTTGCTTTTGACCAACAGTGCCAATTTTCAGTGATGATTCGACAAAAACGCGATCGGAAATGAGAAAGGTAGCATCACGTGTACAAAGGAGCTCAAATAGAAAGGTGAAACGCGAAAAGAAATAGAGCTGACCTTTAATGATCAACATCGGCTTGCAATAATGCTATTACTCCTCGCAATTATGTTATACATCAGTCATAACGCAAGATTTCACCTTTTGATGTGATATCATCACAATAAATAAATTATAATTACGTTGGTTGTATTCACATCAGAAGCACTGACTGAGCAGTCTTTCTGATAGCTGACACCTGAATCCTTCTGGCTGTCACAGATGTTAGACGTCTAATTCTCCTCCGCACCTGCTATGAGTTCATTTCAACTCATGCCGGTCAATTTAACCCTACCCCAGAGACCTACCTCTACTATATACGCTCTATAATTATGCTCTTAATATTGACTTTTTATTTGCTGACAATTTTTTTTACAGCAGGGTATAATGCGAAATACAACAACAATGGTGTTGAGATATTTGCAAAATCTCCAGACCACAGATGTCTGCGGTGGGGAACGAACGCGCTATTGCTCTTTTCAGGGGATAACGCGTTCACTACCACACCATGCGCTTCCATCGTTTCGCATTTCTCTCAGCTACTTCTATCGAGCAATGCCATCAGCAATCACCCGTCAGCAGGATTGATCTGGGCAGCTCAAATCGGCATCGATCCCAGTTAACTGAGGCTGATGGCACTGACCGATAGAACTAGCTGAGAGGCATGCAAAACATAGGATCCACATGGTACGGTGGTGAACGTGTTAGCCGCGGAAAGAGTAATAGAGAGTTCGTTCCCCACCGCAGATACCTGCGATCTGGAGCCTTACAAATATCTCAGCACCACTGTGATTGTATTATGCTCCTAGTTGATTCATGAGTTTGCGAAGTTCTGCAAAAAGACGACATCGTAACATCTCAAGGAAAAAGCATCAGCAGGAATGAGTGAAGACGCAGAGGTTGGAAAACGCATTCGTAACATCCCGGAAAGGCTGCGAAGAAAATGATTGACGACTTCTACCTTGACCTCTTCAAAATCCATGCCCCTTTCCCTCCACATCAAATCAGAAAGAATAAATAAGTCGAGTCACCGCTTCTCCCTAAATCTAACATAGTATAATATTTCATCGGTGAACAATCAAACAACACTGAATCCGAACAAGATAAAACCTTAACACCCGAGGAACCTTCCGCCTGTCCTCATCGGCACACCAGTCCTCATATGTTGCTTGTCAGAACGCAAGGTTCCTATTCCATAAAGGTCCATGAAGACCATATTATTGACTAGAATCACCACAGCATCGGCAGCAATGGCCCTGCCTGCTGTCTGTCATCTACAAACGCTTCACTCGGGTAATCCTAAACAGGATTGACAGAAACTAAGGAAAGCCATATAGGTAAGAAAGAAGTCATTGAAGAGAGCCAGTAGTCAGGAACCATTAGCAACTGGATGCGTCGCTTTCTTGTTCAGCAATCGCGAGGTTGTTATACAGCATACGCTTACTTCCATAGAAAAACACGCTACAATACAACGCCAGCTGACGTTTCGGCAGCATCGCCTTCTTCAGAGCTGGAAGGGTATATTGATATATAACTTACTAGGCCAAACGCTTCAATATCACATACAGAAACACGAAAAACTATGGCAATTACATGACCAAAAACTTCTCGAAAAACAACCGCTTCTTAGGTGACTTCCAACGGGAAAGATTAGAACAGCTGATTATAGCCGCGTATGCTTGATGACTGCACCACCCCACATCAGAAATTGATGTGAGCATACGGGGTCAGGTCCCTTCTGACCTCTGTGCATTCATTCCTCCCTGCTATTCATTGTAGTGTTCTTGGCATTTATCCAAAAAACCTCAAGAAATTTGCTCGTTGGTGTTTTAGTCTTCTATGCAAGGATAGTGACATTTACACCAAAATCGTCTTCGCTGTGATTTTGCATCCTATGCGTGCCTAGTGAGCGAAGTACTTTGTCTTGCTTACCCTGTCTTAAAGTACCCCACTAGGCACGCATAGGATACAAAAGCATAGCGGATTTTTGTCTAAGTGCCAAGAAGTCTACAGTGAATAGCAGGGAGGAATGCTCAGAGGTCACACGCGACCTGACCCCAGATGTTCGCATCGATTTTTGATGTGGGATGGTGCAGTCGTCAGTCACATGCGACTATAATCAGCTGTTCTAAACTTCCTCATTGGAAGTCACGAAAAAAACGGTGAGTTTTTCGAGAAGCTGTTGATCATGTAATTACCATAGGGTTTTTCGTCTTCTTGTAAGTGTTATTGAAGCGTTTGGCCTAGTAAATTGTATATCAGTATACCCTTCCAAGCTGTGAAGAAGACTATACTGCCGAAACGTCAGCTACTGTTGTATTATATCGTGTTTTTCTATGGAGGTAAATATATGCTGTGTCACAACCTCGCGATTGCAGAACAAGAAAACGACGCATTAGTATTCCAATGCCGAGGTTATTAGAAAGTCGATCCTGGGAACTATTAGAAACTGGGTCCCACAGCACGTGAAAGGCACAGCGCGAAGACCACAGCCCAATGGTCACGATTTTTCACGAAAATTCTAGAAGAGAAACACGATTCTTGACGAGATCCTAGAGCGAATAAGCTACTCCTGCACCCTACAAGGATCGAAACATTAATGTCGTTCTCTCGAAGTGCTTGACATTCAACAGACAAATGGGTAATACAGGTGAATTAAGATTCCCTACCTCTTCTTTCTGATATCTCTTCACTTCTTCGAATTTTCTAATTCTTTTAGGAATTCCTCCATGCTTTCCACACATTTCAAACTCTTGTATGGTGAAAAAACTCTCACCATACAACCACAACGTCAGCATCTGATAGTCTACTTTATAACATTTATCAGCTTTCTACTGGTATTTTCTATATCCGGCTACTCCGTATGATAATGATAATCTATCGTAATCACTAGGAATGGATAGATAATGAAAAAGTATTAGCTAAAAATGGCTTCCACTGGTTTAAGGACGATAGTTTTTGATAATTTTCCGATAACTAAAGTACTTCAAGAGTGGATAACTTGCCAAGCTTATAGAGATTCCGTCGTTCTAAAGTCGATGTAACTCTTCACGCGTAAGATTTTGAAAGGTTAAAGTTAAATTCTATTTGAAATACAAATCACCAAAGACATGAAAAACGAACCCAGATTTTGAACATCAGCTGCCGATACACTGAGGATCACCACAATGTTCTCCTGTAGTTAGTGCTTTCTTTACTAGAAACAGCCTGTCGCCGACGAATTGATCTCGTCTCAGAAAATTTTTTTTGCAAACTACGTGTATAGACGCCTTTCTGGTCCGATGCTTGGTACAAAGACATATGTCATACCAGTTACTAACTGAACATAAAAAAACAGAGCAACAGGAGCATATGTGCACCAAAATAAACAATTGCAACGAAAACGACTAGATGTGAACTGATGCTAACCTGTCGTTAAGCACACGTAGAAGCAGAGCTCCGACCATAATTGCAAGTCAAAGTTGAAATGAAACTATGTGAATACTGTATTAAGTCTGACCTCGGTCTATCGGATAGTACAGCTAATAGAGTAAAATTCATTCCAACATTATGTTCATGGTGAATACGTAGATAAAAATATGAAAGAGGAAGACTAGATGAAAGGCACAGCTCCAACAAGTGACAAAACCCATGAAACAATTCCTGACTAGGACAGAATTTATCACAGACTAGTTTTCCTTAGGCTACAAGTCAGACGGAATGTGTAGAAACAATGAGTAATAGTATACCGAAAGAAATAAAAGTAAACCGTGACGAAACATACCCAAGTATGAGACAAAGCCAAATGTTCACTTCTACCACTAAATAACAAAAATTCTGTACAATAAATAACAAAGTCTCTTAAGAAGAAAATGACAGTCATTTCTCGCATATTAAATGCAATACCTCGACTTGTAAATCATAAACGCTACACGGAGTTTTCACATATCGTAATTCGCAGGCACGTTCCAGCGCTTATCGTACTCTTTCACATAATCCCTATTGGGAACTAGAAATATTCTAACGCCATTCATGAAACAAGAAACTATTCCCTGATATGCGGTACGAGGCACTCCTGCCTGAAAATTTGGCAAAATTTATATTTCAACATAATTACCATAATATAACAATACAATCATAAGGAAAAAGCAAGAGATCATTGAGATACAGATGGATTTAATATGACATGACTAAAAACATCTTTGATATGGTGTAATTACACAGGATGCCTTGCAATGCACACGTGGTCGTGGGTTCGGTCGCGTGCCCCAGGCTCACCAAATCTTCCTTCTGCCGGGGTCAGCAAATTGGTGCCAAACCTGTCTGAGATGATAGCAACACTGACTTGATACTTCGGTAGGCCATCACAAGCCATTGCATAGACCAAACATGCATTCAAACACCTCTCGGGGTGCTTAATGAACTCAAATTCATAGCAAACCCCCAGGGACTCACTGGCGCTTTATTCTTTTTTTGTTAATTATGCAGCGAAAAGAATCATACTGTCGTTAAGAAAACAATCACAACAATCAAAGGATCCGGGCGGTAACAATGTATTAGCGACCTCTGGTGAAATAAACTTCGTTCAAATTGCTGAAGCAATAAGTGTACTGTTCTCATTTTCATTCAAATTATTAACAATGTGTTCAATAGTTGTTTAATATTAATTTTTTAATTTTTGCTGGATCGCGAGTCATCGTGAAGAAAATGGATGACTTAAACTACCAAAAACCCTCCTAATAACCTGTAATCTGTGGACCTCGTTTCAATTTCTTGAACCAGAAAGAAGCTACCTAAACTTTAATAAAGGGTAGCTTCAGCGGCGTTGTCGTCAAAGCTTGATTTTAGGTTATATGTGGCGAATGCTTTGAAGAAAACTCCACACTGAACCAGGTCTTTTCAATGGGAAGTCTCCGCAACTGTTGGTCATTCAAAGGAAACTGATGTCAACGGCAGACATAATGTTAATAACAATGCGAAGGACGTTAAATCCTATGGTATTCCATGGAGATTCATCACATGCTAATGCACCCAGGATACAGATATAGAGATCACCATAATAATCCTTCAAGATTGAGGCGGTCTAGAATGGCTCTAAAACTTTAGTGTCTCATGAGATGATAGAGAAGCGCAGATGACATTTAGAGATGCTATGCAATGTAGTTTTGGTTTATGCTGCCTGTACGAGCTACTCGATTATAAAGAAGACTGCGCATGAGATTAATCGCAAAAGTTTTACCTTGAAATCATGCATGATATGCAGTTTGTCGGCTTTAATTATGAAGTCTATGTTTCCTGTGTAATCTACCCTGAAAAAAACAAGACTAGTGTAGTGTATTATATTAATCACTACGAATGTTATTCGTATATCCGAAAAACGTTCAACAGGCAGCAAGACGTCTCCTGTCAAAAATGTTTGGATACGTAAACGTATATAGCTCTCAACTAACCTAATGCTACGACCAATATTTTCCTTCTGCATTGAGAAAATTAGTGCTGCCTCAATCGACACGAGGCGGCTATCTTCATAAACCTTTCGAAAGAAATCCTTGTCATACCTTGGCTGAAAGCAGACAAACATAGATGACTTGCACGGTTAAAAAAAGCGCAGAAAAAAAACTGACGTTAAGGAGATAGTCAAGATTCATAGATGTAAATACGACAGGTGCTGTATTCAAAACCACCTTCGCAAGGTGTTTGTCGAAAAAAAGGCCCCTGAAAAGAGGATTTCCAAATAAAAAAGCGATAAATTTATTTAGCACATGATGGACGATATGAATTCACTTCAACACATATGCTAGTGAAAATAACCTAGCCTTTTACCTTCAGACAAATGTATCTCGTTTAGTTAACTCTACCAGTTGAAGTTAAACAGTGTAATGTAGAAATCCTTTCTAAATAGATATAAATTGTGCTATTCTACCACGATTAGGTTAATTTTCTAGAGTTTACATATTTTTTGCTTCTTCGTCGAAGCAGGTATCTCCAGCAGCAAAGATACTGAACAAGGAGAACTCGCTTAATGCTATAATTCGATGGTTTCCCGGAATACGTTATGGGTGCGGTTGCCTGCTTTCGATGAAGAAAAGGTTTCTTTTTCTACACCAGCAGCTATTTTTTGTGCGAAGTGCAATCATAAACATGCCGAGATATTTGAAAAACTCTCGTTTGACGAGTGACTGCTGCAAGCATCTTTAGCATAAAAACTTGGCTGAGAGAAAGGTAAAGAAGGGGCCTCAGTGCTGCCGATGGGCAACAAGTGAGCACCCGGATGTGGCACTCGCAGGTTCGAATCTGCCCTGGGATTTGAGTTTTCCAAATATCACAGCACATTTGTAGTTGTATTTTACATAATATCCTGCCATAAAAAGAAATAATAAACCGTAAATAGAACCTTACACCATTTTTAACTTTCTTTCCTAAATCAAACTATCAAAATACTGTTTGTCTAAACTCAAGTCAAGTCAAAAACCTGACTAATAGATTAGAACAATATATACTAACACAACGACAACAATACTTAGTGCCTTCTTCAAGTATATAGAATTCCCAAATAATAAAGATTTTACCTGTCGAAACAAAATGGGTTAAAAATCCACCTACTTGCTTGCTCCTGCTTTACCGAATAATGTCATTTTTGTGCGACTAATCTCTGGACGAATGCATTGGCGACCCTGAAATCACCCAGCATTATTAATAAAAACTTTCATAAAAACTGTAGCATAAAAAAACCATGCCTACATTGCGGATCTCAGGTTCTCGCAACCAGTCATCCCAAAATCCGGAAGGCCACTTTGGCCCCAGCTCTTTCCACAAGTTTCTAAATTAATATGAATAGCAAATAAACGTCTTCGAATGTAATGATTTTAAGGAGTGAAAAAAGTGACGTAGTCAACTGTAGAACCACAGAGTACCTCGTCATCATCCATCCTAGCCCAGAAAAAAAATCGCTACGATACAACAACGAATTAGCAGACAGATCAATGCTTCCATTCTGAAAACCACAAAATTTGCAAAGCGCTCTAGCATAATAAGCCAGTTAAAACTGAATGGTTAATATTTATTTAAAGCAGATTTAATCAAATTTTAGAGATATGCTGAAAGAAGTACCTTCCCGTTATCATTCCACGCCGAGACACACCAGAGTTTCTCATCGATCTCCAAGAGATAACGCGTAGCCGAAAAATATTCGAAAAAGTCAGCCGAAACATCAAGATCATCTAGAACGACGTGACTTTTCATTTATCCCAAACAGAAGCTCTTTTCACCAACCCTCCAATAAAATGACAGTGTTGTATCCAAGCACGTCGAACACATGCTCCAAAGCTAGTTTATAGTGCCTTGCAATATAGTAATACGTAGAATACCGACTGTGTACACTAGGTACAGTAATCCCTTCCTGTTGAGCACTTTTATGCTAAAAGTACTGAATAATTAACACCGCTGTCAAAAACGAACATCGATGCTAGACTAGATTCATATGACTGCAACCATAGGTGCAAACAATGGTAACATTGCTTACTTGGACATTTGTATGGCGCGCCTTCACTGGTTATGCGGGTCCCATCGTAGTTCCCACTTTTTCGGAGTTTGGCTGGTTTAGCCATTGTATTGCCCTGGAGTCTCGAGGTCAGCCAGGTTAAAGTCTGTCCCAGGTCGTCACTACCACAGACAGTAGCCGCCCTCGTGGATTAGGAGATTTTCCATCACACGACTAGTTTAGTACGAGGGCGGTGGTGGACCCTGGTACTGGTTTACTCTTAGCTAGGCTTCCTAATGGAAACGCCGGACTCCTTCTCAGCTTGGGAGACCTTGCGGCTGGGATGAATCCCTCGCTGTATATGGCACCGCGACACCCAAGAACACCTCTCAGCCACGATGAGGCGGTAAACCGTCGAGAGGATTGAGAACATAAATAATTGAAATACTAATATTCATCGCGAAATATCACCGTAGTGATCAAACCAGTGATTACTTAGGTGCACTACCATACCTTGATGTAGTTAACGTTTTCTCGAAAGCTGGCTACGGCGCGTTGTACAGCTACGTCATCACAGTCTTGACTAATTGTAATAGGGAAAAGATCCTTCGATCGACGAAATCTGATTCGAATAAAATTACCGTTGTTGTTGTTTGCGTATGAAACCATTCATGAGCAAATTTTACAAAGAAAAGTTACAAATGACAGAGATAAGTACAACACTTACGAAATCAGTTTCTCAATAAGGCTAGTGACGGCTGCTGGGCGATTACAAGCGAATACCTACAGAATTGTTCTTTTTAAACATAACGTTTACTGTAAAAATCGTTGGAACCAAAAACGAAAGTAACGTTGGTGAGGATGGAAACATACGCTAAACTGCGATCGAGATAAAATATAGAAGAATAAAATAGAAGAGAAGAAAGAGGAAAGAGGTAATGCAAAGAGAAGTCACGAATGTAACTAACCACAACCGCTATCGGTTCTTGCCATTGACGACGAAGAACTCCTCCAGGCGAAGATTTATTAACCTTAAACAAAAAACGTCTTCATTGTAATAAATACCAACAACACCGAAGTTCCTCGCTTTTTCTGTGCAAAGAAAACCTGTAAACAAAACTTTGTTTAGACAGGAGATGTAAAATAATCAGACCAGTGACCTTTTGTGAGAAGATGTCATTACTTAAACTCTGAACAATGTTTTTGAGTTTCCGGATTTCCTCTTGTTCATTTCGTGCTTGAATTTGCAAATTTTCAACAGCTAACGATAATTCGTCTGCCTTGATGTTAACCTAGAACCATAATGTTTATCATGGATGAGTAAGTGGAGTGATGTAGAAATAAACTTACTGTTCTTTGTGGAACGTCACGTTCAGCCAATGTAATGAACAGATATATCCATACAATCGCAGCTGTTCCGAAGAATATGAGAACATTGATCCCAAACACTGCCATGAGTCCTGGTACTACAATATAATTCTTTAAACTGCCTTAGTTCTACGACTAGAAGACACAACGCACAGTACAAAAAAGGTCGAAAACAACAAAGTTGTTTGAGAAACCTTATCAGGTTATGGTAATAGAGTTTAGTTACTGTAAAAAAGCACGTCAAATTAATCTCACTACAAATCAATCCTTGTCAACCACTAATGCTTCGAAAATTTAGACAACTGTTACAGCACTGACTTTCCAACAGAGTGAAGACTAGTTGATTTACCAAGTAATAAACTTTCTGCTAAGTATTACAGTTTCGTATAAGTATTGTAAAATCTCACCAAAACGGTTCACCGCCTCATCGTGGCTAGGAGGTGTTCTTGGGTGTCAGCTTGCGATGTACAGCGAGGGAAATCATCCCCAACAGGGTCTTCCAAACTGGGAAGGAGTCCTGCTTTTCCATCAGTAAGCCCAGCCAAGAGTAAACCAGCACCAGGATCCACCACCGTCCTGGTACCAAACTAGTCATAATGTGACAAATCTCCCTCTTATCCACAAGTGTGGCAACTGCCTGTGGTGGTGACGACCTGGGGCAGGCTTTGGCTAGGCAGACTTCGGGACTCCAGGGAACCAATTGCTAAACCGGCAAAATTTCAAAAAGAATGGAAACTTTGCTGTGCTGGGGCTCGCACAACCAGTGAGGATGCGCTATCCAAGTATTCAAGCATTGTAACTAGTGAATTAATGGGGAACGATCACATTGCTCTATCAATCACTAAGAAGACACATATTTAAAACGTTAATCAACCAAGAACTGGCACGGGTACCAGTAAATTTTCGTCTACTCTGTCGCCAATTTCAAGTTCTATGTGGGAAACAAGGAACAGGAGCAGGAATCATAAACCGTCAACTTCTCTGGTGGAATTTTACTCCTAAGCTAGGAGCCTTAACACTTTACAGTGGACTTGAAACCACGACAAGAAACAAGTTATGTAGAAAGAAAGTACCAATGCAGACTAGATACGAGAATAATGGCAAGGTTCGAAACTATTTAATGGAATATACGTCTACGCGAGCAGGCAAAAATTGGGGGCTTCTAGTTATTCAATCTATTTGAACTGTAAGATGGTAAGGTCTCCATTTTCCTTAGACATTTTCCTCAGAACCAATATACAATTTGAATGACTAGATAGTGTCATATACCGAAGAAAAAAACTCAGGCTTCAACAAGAAGTCATCGTAAAAGTAAGGTTCTGCTTCCCAGTTTTGTATGACCGATCGATCAAACACACGAAAACTTACAAATGCGGTTGTTACTGTACATATCAACGAACCTCAACATCGCTGAACCCTTAGCAGCCGGTCACTCATCACTCGTATGGATGGCGCATTTAATCTGAAACCGCGATTTCTGGATAAATGTGATCAACCGCTAACCAAGCTTATCCTTGCACCTGTACAATACGAATCAATCTTTAACAATCTTGCCGACAATCAAGCTTCAAGCTTCAAGCAACGAATCTTGCCGCCAATCAAACTTCAAAGAAGAATCTGCGTGATAGAATCATATGCTGTGAAATCATCACGAAGCAGCTATCAAGACAGTCAGTCTTCATTGACGATAGCTGAACAACCACGACACGTTAAGTTCAGGATGCTCGAATCATATAACATTCTTTTAACCATATGACATACCGGTGATATTATGGATTCGATGTGCGTTCCTCTTATGATAAGAGGTTAAATATAGTTGAAAAACTACCTTAGCAGAACTGAAGACGTGATGAAACGTCTCCTTTATTAGCGTAATGCAAACAACTAGGCAAGAAATATGACGTCACTCTAAGGCAATCTGAAGTGACGAGCCTCAGAATTCTAAACCCGGCCGAAACAAGACTCATACAACGAAACCCGATGAAATATGAGTGTTTGTCTCACCTCACAGCCTAAGAGTAACGCGAAGCGACAAATAATGGAGCTAAAGCGTAAAGCAAACATAAAGATATCTCGATTCACGCTAACTTCCCTAACCCAGAATACTATGCAAATAGTTCTTCGAAGCGTTTCTAAGCTTCGAAGCAACATCACCACATGTTTTAAAATCTAGATAACGATACAGCTATTGTGAATGGTTAGAAGACATTCTATAACCGAAGGATAATATACTGGTACTACACTGGGCACTCCTCCCAATAGTATTACCGCCTCATTGTGGCTAGGAGGCATTCCTGGGTGTTGAGCTGAGATGTACAGCGAGGGCTAAATCTCCCCAGCAGGGTCTCCCAAGCTGAGAAGTCCAGCGTTTTCCTTAGGAAGCTTAGATAAGAGTGAGCGAATACCAGAACCCACCGCCGTCCTAGTATCAAACTCGTTGCATGGTGGCAAATCTCCTTCTGATCCGCAAGGGCGACGACTGCCTGTGGTGGTGACGACCTGGGGCAGACTTTGGCCTGGCTGACGTCGGAACTCCAAGGAACCACAATGGCTAAACCAGCAAAACTTCGACAACTTGGAAATTATGCTGGGGACCGCACAACCGGTAAAGACGGGCCATCGAAATCCAAATATCCAAGTAAGTATACCGGACACTATACTTTACTACAAAACATACTAATACGGTTAATCTCTTGTGATATCGCTATTTTTGCTATCTTTATCCGTCGCTCCCTTCTTGCTACGCAGAAGTTAAACTCCACTATGGTACTAATCAACACTCTGAATAATCACATTACGTAGATAATCGGATGACCCGTCTTCATGCTACCCAGCGGTTGGTCACAGCATTTCTTCCACACCCGTTTCTTTCTCTTGCATTGGTTAACCATGGAAGTCGTTGTATTTGTGTGCGGTTTCGGCTTAATGGCCTGGAAGTCAATTCCAGCTGCCAGTATAGCTGCTCTACGCGTATAATCAACACATGGGCACATGTTCTTAGTGATGCCTCTTCGAAATCGCTTGGATCCCCTCAGGATCTACGCTATTGCTTTCTTTCGTTGCCTACCTGGCATCGCCTTTTCTCATTATGTGACCGGACCACCACCGATGTTTGATTCCTGAGCGCACAATGCAGCGTCTTGAAAACGAGGTACTCTTCGGAAATTTGAACTAAGAAAATCCGCTTGGTGTTAAGTGTGTCGGCCCATCTTCAGAAGACATCGCATGAGTGCCTTTTGCATTATGTATTATTTCTTTGATATGGTTGAAGTATCACCCCAACGCAAAGCTGAAAGAACTATTAATTCAAATAAGTGACCGCGTATGTCAGCACCATTAACTTGATCAGTGGATTTCCTCAGAGGTCCGAAAGTCGCCCATGCTGTTCGTTTTTCTCCACAGCGTTCTCTCAAGTATCACTATTCACCCAACGTCCCAGGTACACGTACGATGTAGCCTCCTCAATCGCTGATTCATTTGGTATAAGCCATTCTCTTACACAAGGAGTCCTCCATAGACTGAGTTTTCTTCCGATTAATTTGTAGCCCAATTTTAAAGCCCTCAAGATGGTCAATTCCTGAGCGATGCACCTTTAAGTAATCAGATAGCTTGTTTTTGTTCTTAGAAGGTACTCCTCCTCCCAACGGTTTACCGCCTCATTGTGGCTGGAAGGTGTGCCTGGCCGCCGAGCTGCGATGTACAACGAAGGATCCATACCAAGAACAGGGTCTCCCAAACTGAGAAGTCCGGCGTCTTCATCAGGATCCCCAGCTAAGAGTAAACGAATACAAGGAACCACCACTGTACTGTTATTCCACTAGTCGCGGGCGACTGCCAGTGGTGGTGATGACCTAGGGCAATATTTGTCCTAGCTCACCTCGGGACTTCAGGGAACCACATTGGTTAAAGGATAAAAAGGATAAAACTCTCGCCGTTGATCATTCCTCGTGGGATGCTGCGACTTTGTTAAGCATCGTTTTGGAGGTGATTGAATCTATCTGGCCTTTACAATGACTCGTGGTGGCCTACCGATGTTTCGAGCCAATGCTGCTATCCTCCCAGGCAAATCGTACCAATTTTTCGACCCCGGAGAGATGGAGGGCTTGGTGGGCCATGGGAGCGGGGATCGATTCCACGTATGTGTTGCAGTGTGCCTCCGATCACTGCGCCACCCGCGTCCTTATAGTTAGACCAGAAAAACTCGAAAAAACGGAGAATATGCTGCGGCTCGCACGACCAGTGAGGTCGAGCCGTCCACGCACTCAAGTGCGGAAACGACAAGAAAACTGAACAGGGTGAGCTGACAAAAATACAAATAAGGAATTGTGCCAGAGATTGTTGAATGGTTAATATCGACAAAAATGGCAGACTGAACTCGGGAACACGTCAGAAACATTCCATATCGTTAAGGGAGACCTATGACGGGATGATAATAAGAACATTTGTTTACAACAAATGATGTCCAGTTACTATGTAGTAGAAAAACTATTCTTTCATTTGACCCATTTTCATGTCCACTGCGCGGATCCTAATACTTCTCACGTTCAATCCGTTCCCTCGCATCCATTGTCCACAAAGATCTTCCAACTTTTACGTGTGGCTTCGGTTGTTGCTTGAAGATTTCCATTTCATCTTGAATGTCGCAGAATGCTGTTCGAGCAATTCTCCCTGGAGCCCTGAGATTACCGGCCTGGAGCGTTCACAGTTGGATTTCAGAGAGCAATTTTTTCCCAGACAAGTCCGGTACCAATTTCCCGACCCCGGAGGGATGAGAGGCTTGGTTGGCCCGGTGCGGAATCGAACTAACACTATGCTTGTGATGACGGGCATCTCTACTACTGTGCTATCTGCCCCTATAAAATAACTATAGAGTAACGAAAAGAAAAGGAAACACATTCAGAAGAAAGAAAAGAATTACTGGCAAAGATAATCTACACAGTAATGCAACATAATCGTTGTTATTGCCCAAACAGCTGGTCGGCCTATCCTTACATGAGTTCGAAGCCATGAACACCACTAAAAACACCACAAAGGTTAGAGCATCGAAATAACAACGTACTTTATTTCTTTAACTTGTTTTCGCATAGAATGTACCTAAATCAAAGCTTACTTTACAATAAGGCGCTACCAGTAGTTGCCATAAACTATACCGGTTTCCTGGAATGTACGAGTTTTCATGGGAGGGTTTCGGACGCGTGGTCCCGCCACGAAAAGTCTCCTTACGAAAATTGCTCCCTAATTTTCATTTTCCAGCTTCTCGTTGTTCACAGTTCTTCAGTTATTTCTTGTCTGTCGTTCATTTCTTGTGTTATTATATCTCTCTATTATAATTTGAGTAATAGTTTAAGTGCTACAACTTAGAAATACTTTACCGCCTGTATTTCGAAGGGCCGTATTTCATGTGTGGGTCGGTTTTTTGCCGTAACGCGTCATCGTCGCATGTTGTTAATACGTAAATTCTAATAGCGCTATTAAGAAATAGTTTCTGCCAAGACATTGAGATGACTTCGAAGCAAGTGTTGGCATTTTTTATACTTATGAGCTCATTCCTCCCAACGGTGTATCGCCTCATCGTGGCTGGGAAGTGTTCCTGGGTGTCGTACTGCGATATACAACAGGGTGATTCGTCTCCTCGACAGGGTCTCCCAAGCTGAGAAGGAGTCCGGCGTTTCCATCAGGAAGCCTGGCTAAGAGTAAACAAATACTAGGATCCACCACCGTCTTGGTATCAAAGTCGCATGGTGGTAAATTTTCCTCTGATCCATAAGGGCTGCGACTGCCTGTCGTGGTGACGACCTGGGGCAGACTTTGGCCAGGCTGTCCTCGGGATTCCAGAGAACTGCAATGGCTCAACCAGCAAATCCAAAAAATGGTGATTATGCTGGGGTCCGCACAGTTAGTGATGGTGGGCCGTTCATGTATCAAGCATGGGCCCGTTTACCCTTAGTAGTTTCATAGCATTCTAGCTGCTCACGTCCAGTGTTCTTTGTACACTTTAGTTTTCCTATCTTTTCATTTTTCTTATTTTACATGGCGTTTTACCACTCCCGTTCCTTGCATTCATCGTTTACGACGGTGTTTGAAGTTTTTTGTTTGGCTGCTACTTTCGTCTTCGTTAGAATGTCGTTAAATGCTGGTCGACTTGATTCTCTATTCTATAGAGCATTTCTCCACACCAGCCGAAGAGGGGAATAAAGAGCGTTAGCAATTAGACATTTTTTTCATTTTTTTTACACGATCCGTCGTCAAATCTACCGTGAGACACCCAGCACTTCTTGCATTCGATTCGTTTTCCTCGCGTTCATCGTCCGGAATGGTTTTCGAACATTTCGCATGTTGTTTCAGCTGCTACTTGAGGATCTCGCCTTCCTTATGAATGTCGTAGAATTCTGGTCGAATCAGTTCTGCTTGCAATCTTGGAGATATAAAGGAGAGATAATCCGGGCTAAGTCGTTCCTAGCTTTCTGATCATCGGCATTACTAACAGCTGTGCTATACCCGCTTCACTTGTTAATAAAAAAAGTCCTCCTATTACGATCTCCCTTTGCGCTTAATATAGATCCGTCCAGAGTTGGGTTGTCGAATTTTTCAAAACATCTTGGATTGTGTTTCATCTGTACGTTCTATTCCGCATATAGTTAAATAGAACTTTCCTCAAATAGATCAATTTTCAGAAAGAAAATGAAAAAGGTAAGGGTCGCTTAGGAACTATGTTGGTGTTCGCGTGATTTCTGGGAAAGACGGAGCATTCAGAAATGTAGTGCTATGTGGAAGCTCATTTCCTATAGACTAGGTGTTTTCTGTGTGTTGTAGGTGTTGTAACATTCTGGAGAAATAATTGTGAGATTTGTAGCCTCCTATGAACATCCATGATTGTTCTTCGTTATTATTTCCGGAACTGATCGCAATCTTTCGTAATGCATGAGGTCTTCGTTTAAAATATTTTCACTGTTTTCAGATGGCAGAAACAGAGAACGTCGCTCCTCAGAACAACGCCGATAACGTCGATGAGAAGATTGTGAGGCAACTTGAGGTATTCTTATTGACAATTAATTGTTATGAATGATTATTACTACGAATGGAAGTTAGTGATTAACTATTGTTAATTACTATTAATTAGTTGTGCTAAGTAAGGTACGAGTCACTACGCCGCCGTTGAAGAACGATTGTGATTTGCTAGAAAATATACATCAAGAATTGTTTTTAACGTGCTCTACAGTTGACGACGGCCTCTGTTTGGTAGTATATTTTGGCTCCTTTTATTCTTTATTTTTTCAGTACTACTTTGGAAACATAAATCTTCCGAGGGATAAATTTTTGCAAGATACTATAAGGAACAATGAAGGATGTGAGTAGCACCCTTTCCTTTGTGATATTGATCTTCTTCTTCATCCTTCGTTTTGTTATTCTTCCTGAAAATCATGAAGAGCTCGTTTACAGTTGTTTTTTAGGGGTTCCAATAAAAACATTGCTCACTTTTAATCGTCTTGCTGCTATAACCACTGATGTGGACGTAGTATCAAATGCAGTCAAGGTGTACTTATATTTCACATCTATGTGTTTTAAAATTACATATAGATGGTATTGCAGTCCATATCGTTTAGGGATCTCATTCCGAAATTATTTGCTTATCAGAGGACGGCCTGAAGATTTGTCGTAATACAAATAATCCGTTGCCGGAAAACTCTCTGGAGTATTGGCAGAAAATCAAGCACTGCACTGTATACATGGTACATTTCACCTATTTTATTTGGAATTGATTAAATCGATTGAGACTACAACAAAATCCAGCCCTGGTGTTGTGTACTGGAATACCAAAAATTTACGAAATCCTTAAGAACATGAAAGAGAGGGTTTTTTCTTCTAAAAGTTGAGGTTCACATCTGTAGTTTTAAGTGCTGATCTGGAACAACAACATGTTAGAAAATAGCTACTATTGTTATTAAATAGTGAAACCTCATACCAAAGAGGGTTATGACCGATATGTGGAAACATTAGGTGTGTTTAATATTATGCTCTTATTGAGCAACTTTTGTTTTACTACGAAAATGAACACTAATTGCGCACCATTAATCGCGCGTATAATCACGAGGCGCGTGTAACACAGTGGTCGAAGACGTCCTGTAATACACATGGGTTCGATTCTCGCGCACAAGTCTCACCAAGTCTTCGATCCCTACGAGGTCGGCAAATTGGTACACGACTACACGACTTGTCTAGGATAGCAGCACTGGCGCGATACAATGGCAGACTACTACTACGAGTCGTTTCATTGTAAAGACCAGATGTGGATTCAGTCACCTCCAGCGATTCTTAATGTGGTCAAATGCATGGCGCGTCCTTCAGGGGTAGATCATCGCTGAGAGCTTTGTCTTTTTTTTTTTGATCGCGCATATCATTTGGCTTTGAGTTTTTCTGGGTGGAACGTTTTAAATTTACTGAAATTCTGAAGTATTCTTACTACTGCTGTCCACAAATTGTTGCATTGAGCAGTTTCAAGTTGTTGAAGGTTTGTTCAGAATGAAAGTAAAGAAAGTGAATAAGAGTGAATAAGAAACATTCGTTTTGGTATTGCGAAGTCTATTATTGCTACGGTTCCATCTTTGTAGTACACTCCTATTAGCTTAGAATTACTTACCTGCTTACTTGTTACTTGAATGAGCCGTGCTCACTGGTTGTCTGGGTCCCAGCATAACCTCCATTTTTCGGAGATTTGCTTGTTAAACTATTGTGGTTCCTTGGAGTCCCGAGGTCAACCTGGCCAAAGTCTGCCCCAGAGCTTAGAATTACCAGTTAAAAACATTCAGAGAACAAAACAATAACGAAAACGTTAGAAAACAAAAGCAGATCATTTGTTACTCCTCAGTCACTTACATTCAGAAAGGTTTCGAACAGAGTACTTCGCTCGATGAGATCATGGATTATGCTAAGAAGTATGGAAATGTTGAGAATATATTAATGCGACGCACGAAGCCGCACCGTGTTTTTAAGGTTGCTGTTTTTTTTTTTACCGATTTTCTGAACATTTCTTGTCCTATGTACTTGCTGACATAGCCAATCTTTCGTTTTTGTTTTCGTTTCAGGGATCTGTTTTTGTTACTTATAAAACACGCGTTGAAGCTGAAGCAGCACAGAAAGACGACGCCAAGTTTGGTGAGATCCAGCTTACAAAGATGATGCAGGACGATTACTGGACCATGAAAAGCCAAGAGACCAAGGTTTGTTATTAAATACAAACTTTGTGTGGAATAATGTTTGTCGGGGGTTAGTTAGGCAGCGTGCAGCGCATGTACGGCTGTTATTTTCGAACCAGTGTTTTACTTTTACTAGTAACCTATTTAAACTAATGCTATAAATCATCAAGCAGTGGGAATTTGATGAAGCGACATTCGTGGGTAGCCATATGAGTTGTGCCAAGGCTTTTGAATGCTGAACTATATTAGGGTCATTTGAATTGCATATTTGTTGTAGATAACCAAGAACGGTCTCCTGTGTATTTCCCAACTAGTTGTAATCGTTTGGCAAAGTAACATGATACAATCGCTTACATGGTTTCGTGCCATGGATGCATGTATAGCGCGTATAGCGGCATGGGTAAAGGTACCCTACTACCATTGTTTCGATCCTGTGCCCTAGACATCCATAACATCGGGCGTTGGAAAACTGCTATCAGGCTGGTTTGGAAGGGAAGAACACTAAATTATTACATCGGCAAGCCACTGTGTCCGTAAAGGATTGGTCAAAGTCGAGCATCTTATTGTTTGCCATTTTAACCTCATTGGTATTATTGCTAGTTAGTAATAGCACTAGTAGCCACAATAGTGCCTGGTTTGCACCACCTATCCTTTGGCGACTTAGCATCTTGTATCACTTCAAGTCGACTGAATTAATGTGTGGAATTTCTATAGGAGAAAAGACAGGCGGAGAAAATGGTGAAAACTACAAAAAAGTTTGCTGAGCACACGGAGAAATTACATGCTAAGGTCAGTATTTTATCATCCATAATTCGATTTCAAAGGATTTAGTCGTTTAGCTGGACATTAGCACATTTTCAGGCTCAAGCACGTTTCGTGAAAGGTTTGATATTATCTGTCGGTGGTTTGCCAGAAGACTCTACTCTGTCGGCGGTTAGAGAGTTTTTCAAGCAGTTTGGAGATGTTGGATATGTGGTCTACGAAAATGGGGAAAGCAAAGCAGAGATTCGGTATGTAGATTCGGTGTTCGTTTTCTGACTTAATAGCTATTCATATGAAATGATTCTATAATTTGGCTACATTATATGCCGTAGTTTTCGGCAATGCCGGATTCTATTTCTCAAGTTCATTTCAGTTTTGCTGGGGAAGAAAATGGCGCTCAAGAAGCGTGGAATAAAGCAGTTTCAGAAGGTGCAGACGGAAAAGTCATTTTCCAAGGAAAGGAGCTGGTTGGGAAGGTGTGATTTAAGTTTAACATATTTGTGAACGTATGAGTTTTGCGATAGCCAACTGCTTTTCTGCTCGGTGCTTGACAGAATTGTAAACTAGATTTTGCCTTATCGCTTAAATTGCTCAGAATATAATTTTTTTATTAGGAAACTTGGAAATATTTTAACCTTTTTGACACAGTGACCTCAATATTGTACGTTGGTTGGGTGGAATCCTAGAAACAGGAAAGCTTAATTTCGCCGAGACGAGATAGAAAGTAAAAGACTAAGTTGTTTTCGGCTATAGCTCAGCTATTCATACCCTGTTGTTGTTGACATGTTAAATTTTTTCTTTATTTTTAAAGTAATTTGTTGATGTATCACATTGCCTTACTTTTCATGGAATAACTTACTCTTCAAAAGGTATTAATGTGAAATTGGAAAGACATTCATGGGTACTTCTCAAGAATCTTTCTTGGAACGTTATGTTGTTTCTTTGACACATTATTCCGTCGTATTTTAATAATATCATGTAGTGGAATATTTAGGTTCTCGATGGAGAAGAGGAAGAGAAATACTGGAGCGCCTTCAATGCCAGCATACAGAATAAAATGGATAGGGCACACAGTCGTCGAGGAGGTCGGGGTGGACGTGGACGGTATGTTTTCATCTTCAGCTGAAATCCAATTCGTTCTTTTTTTCGATTCTTGTCACTTTATTCATCTTTTTGGTTCTTCCCAACCGTTCTTCATTTATGGCGAAGTATAGACCACTTTTATACTCACCGTTAAGCATGAGAAGTTGAGGTGAATGGTATTGAGGCTAGTGAATAAGGAGTCAAATGCATGCTAATAGTCTTTTATTGTGATGACTTCTCGAATTTGGTCATGAATGGTGCTATAAGATGTTATCAGTCAACCGAAGGCTTCTCTACTGTTGGCCACTCCATCTTTATTTCAATTGTGGCACGACGTTTTCAGGAGTGTTTATAGCTTCACATGACATTTTTTAGAAAATATCGGCTTGTCTAACCCTTTCATGTCGATGATAATATCGTTGTGAAATCCTTTTTGTAAAGTTTTTTTAAGGTCATGAATTATCCTACTATGCTGGACAAGTTGTCTTGGTTGTTCAAAGTTTTTTAGGATTGCTTTGTTTCAACTGAGTCAAAAACCTTTTTTAAATCACTAAGTGACTCACGGCGCTGCGCTATATTTTCGTAGTTTCTTTGTCTTCTTCGCTGTTTTTTTATCCTGTGTGATTCATTCTACTACTGAACCTTTTTCGATACCCTACATAGTGTGCGCATGTAGCGCAGTGGCTGGAGGCGCCCTGAAATACAAATGGGGTCGATGCCCAGACTTGCCAAGCTTGCCATTCTCTGGAGTGGGCGAATTGCTACCGTACTTGTCTAGGAGGAAAGCAGCGCTGGCTCGGTACATCGATAGGCCACTACGAGTGATTGTAAAGGCTGGATATGCATCCAGTCACCTACAACAATGTTCAATGAAGTCGAATGCAGGCGCAAAGACCAAGAGCTTTATCTATCTTTTATTACCCTACATTGTCGTCCAGTATTTTGTTAATACTTTTAAAGATGGATGACTCCAAAACTTGCAAACCGTCCCCCTAGCCCCACCCAGAAAAAGAACTATATCCGAAAATGAGGGAGAACTGCAATTGAAGATTCCCATTGATAGACTTGGTTGGTCATCATGGTAAACTGGTTCGACTTTGTTTTTGACTTAGCTTGATATTGGGTTTGTAGATCACTATCAATGTTAAAACTAGTAGTGATGCATATGTTTTAAAGCAATGAGATTTGCATCGTATATTATTCCGTTGGGGATTCCTGATGTTATCCTACCTGGGTATGGATTATAACAACAGTTCTTTTAGATTTTATTACAGCCTAGGATGAAACTGAAATAATTATTCTACATTCATTTACTTCCCGGCTTTCATCCAGATTGACACTCAGAGTGTAACATCAACCGGCATAGACACACACGCTCGCGAAATGAACGCACTAATTTTTTGCATATGTATAGAACGCATATTTTTTATTCTGCTACAGAGTGGAAACTCGTAGCGTTAGCCCACTTGCGTATTAATACATATATAAAAGTGGAATTTAATATGCTTTTACCCCCCCACAGCCATCTTAAGATATTTTACGTTGGCTTACGACTGGAAACGAATAGTCATGTGAATTCACAATGTTTAACGTTTTGTTTTCTGCCTTCTATAATTTTCATGGCAGGTTACTAAGTAAGCGAAATACAACCACAACGTTGCTGAGATATTTGCAAAACTCTGGACCGCAGGTGTCTATGGTGGGGAACGAACGCGCTATTGTCCTTTCCGGGGAGTAACGCGTTCACCACCACACCATGCGGGTCCTTTGTTTCGCACGTCTCTCAGCTATTTCTATCGATCTTTTTGCCACAGCAATCACCCGTCAGCGGGGTTGATCTGGGGAGCGCAAATCGGCATAG